CACAGCTTTTGTCAACACATCAGCAAGTTGTTCCTGTGATCGTATGTGAGGGATCTCAATTATATGATTGTCCAGCTTTTCCTTTATAAAATGTCTGTCCACTTCCACATGCTTAGTTCTGTCATGTTGAACTGGATTGTGTGCTATTTCAATAGCTGCTTTGTTGTCACAAAAGAGATTCATTGGCTGACTATAAATAATCCCCAATTCAGTTAGAATGTTCCTAATCCATAACAGCTCACACACACCGTAGGCAATACCTCTGAATTCGGCTTCAGCGCTTGATCTAGCTACCACCTTTTGTTTCTTGCTTCTCCATGTGACTAAATTTCCCTCTACAAAGGTAAAGTACCCGGACGTTGATTGCCTTGTAGTCTTATCACCAGCCCAATCTGAGTCTGTATATCCCTCAATACATGGTCTATTATTTTTTGAAAAAAACAATCCTTTTCCTGGAGACCTTTTTAGATACCTTAGAATTCGATATACAGCTTTCATATGTTCTTCACTAGGAGAGTGCATAAATCTGCTTACAATACTAACAGAATATGCAATATCAGGTCTAGTATGTGATAAATAGATCAGCTTACCTACCAACCTTTGATATCTGCCCTTATCTGTCTCAATTTGATCTGGATATACACCAAGTGAGTGATTCATCTCCATTGGAGTATCTGCTGGCTTGCTACCCAACAACCCGGTTTCTGAGAGAAGGTCTAAAATGTATTTTCTTTGAGACAAAAAAATTCCCTGTTCAGATCTGGATATTTCTATTCCAAGGAAGTATCTCAGAGGACCGAGATCTTTCATCTCAAATTCAGCAGCCAATTTCTTCTCAAGAGACTTCATTTCTTCCAAATCATCACCAGTTAACACCATATCATCTACGTAGACAATAAGTATGGTTACCTTTTGTTTGTTGTGCTTTATAAAGAGTGTGTGATCTGAGTTGCTTTGTTGATACCCAAACTTCTTCATTGCAAGTGACAACCTACCAAACCATGCTCTAGGTGATTGTTTAAGACCATAGAGTGCCTTTTCCAATTTACAAACAATATTCTGGTTTGAAGATGTTTTCCTTACTCCAGGTGGTACCTCCATGTAGACCTCCTCCTCTAATTCACCATTCAAAAAAGCGTTCTTTACATCAAATTGTTTCAAGGGCCAGTTTCTATTTGCTGCAATAGATATCAGAATTCTGATTGTATTAAGTTTAGCCACAGGTGCAAAAGTTTCCTGATAGTCTACCCCATACCTTTGTGTAAACCCCTTTGCTACAAGTCTTGCTTTGTACCTGTCAATGCTTCCGTCTGCCTTTAGCTTCACAGTATAGACCCATTTACAACCAACTGGTTTTTTTCCTTCTGGTAGAGATGTCAGAGTCCAAGTTTTATTTTTTTGAAGTGCCTCCATTTCAGTGTTCATAGCCTGTTTCCATTTTGGATCCTCCAATGCTTCCTGCACACTATTAGGAATTTGCACAGTAGATAATTGATTTATTGTTAAAGCATATGATTCAGACAACCTATGATATGACACATAATTACTGATTGGATATTTTCCTCTTACTCTTGGATCCGGTTCATAGGTAGATTTTGGTATGCCTTTGTTTGCTCGTTCTGATCTTCTAGCATAAGTGCTGTTCGGATTTTGGGTTTCGGGAACCTGATCAGAATGTGTTTCACTTGTTGGTGGGATCGGTTGATCAGAATTTTGGGTGGAGGTGGACTCATGTGCAGCAAGTTCAGAGTGTGTTTCAGATGTATCCAAGGATGGAGTTTCAGGTATTTGAGACAGATTTGGTGCTTCATTTAACAAAGTGTGTGATGGAGGATTAGGAGGAAGATGGATAGAAGTAGAGGACCAGAATTCTTCTTCTCTAGTAATATGTTTCTCCCCCGGAGAAGAAGAAGAGGAAACTCCCCCTGAATAATATGCTTCAGATTCATGGAAAGAGACTTCAAGTGTGACATACATCTTACGAGTGATAGGATCAAAACACCTGTAGCCCTTTTGGAGGTCAGAGTAGCCTACAAATATACACCTCTTAGCACAAGGATCAAGTTTGGTGCGTAGAGGTTTGGGGATATGAACAAAAACATTGCAGCCGAATACCCTAGGTTCTAGATTCAAAACATGAGGAATGGAAAAAAAAGTTTCAAGTTTTTGTTGAGGGGTAAGAAAATTCAAAGAGCTAGATGGAGTACGGTTCAAAACATAAGCAGCAGAAAGCACAGCCTCACCCCAATAGTGGGAGGGAACATTCATGTCAAATAAGAAAGCTCTGGTGACTTCTAACAATTGTCTATTCTTTCTCTCTGCCAATCCATTTTGTTGAGGTGTGTATGCACAAGAAGTTTGATGTTTGATCCCCTTAGAGTTTAAAAAATCTGAAAACACTTTATTCTTATATTCAAGTCCATTGTCAGATTGGAGAATTTGGATGGAAGTGTTGAATTGAGTGTGAACCATATTATGAAAATTCTGAAACATAGAAAAAACTTCATTTTTATTCTTCAGTAAGGAGATCCACATCATTCTAGTGCATTCATCAATAAAGGATACATAATAAAAAGCATGTGAAAAAGAAGAGACTCTAGCTGGTCCCCACACATCAGAATGAATCACTTGAAAAGGAACCACACTTTTATTTAAACTAGGATAAAAGGGAATACGATGGCTCTTAGCCTTTTCACAAGTAGAGCACTTAAAATCAGAAGGAGTACAGTGTTTAAAGAAATGAGGAAACAACTTTTGTAAATAAGAGAATGAGGGATGTCCTAATCTCCTATGCCAGAGCCAAAGTGCAGAATGTGTATGACCAGAGGACTGAACCGCGGCTGCTTTCACGTGAGAGTCACTATCAGGGACTTCAAAAAAATAGAGATTATTCTTCCTAACACCATAGCCAAGGATCTGTTTGGTTTGGATGTCCTGAAATACACAGAAGGATGGCAAAAAAAATACCTCACAATTAAGGTCTGAAGTCAGTTTGCTTACAGACAAAAGATTAAATTCAAGAGTGGGCACAACAAGTACAGAATTGAGTGTGATAGTGGGAGACAGGATGAGGGTTCCTTGACCCGTAATGGAGGCCGAACCACCATTTGCAGTAGTAACCGAGGATTGATCACAAGGTAAAAATGCAGTTAACATAGAAGCATCATGAATCATATGATTTGACGCACCAGTATCAATTATCCAAGACAAATGACTAAAGTGCGTAGATAGAGCCAGAGAATTACCTAGGATCCCTTCGTAGATAGCATTAGCTTGAGGGTTGGAAGAGGAATCACTGTCGGTTGAGGAGAGAAGAACCTTCGCAGCAGCCTTCCGCCGAGGACGTTTGGTGAAATCCCACCACTCGGGATAGCCAATGATTTCATAGCAACGGCTCTTGGAGTGACCGGAATCACCACAATGAGAACAGACAAATTGCTTGCCAGACGATGCATCCTTCCGGGGTTTGAGAGCAGAATTAGCAGCAGGTGAGCGAGAGACATGGGACAACAGGGCAGAGGAATCCGATGAAGATGAGGGACGTCCCATGGTGATGCGTTGTTGTTGTTCACGGCGGAGGAAGGCATAGGTGCCTTCAAGGTTCAATTTTGGATCCTTGCGAAGAATTTCGCCTCGGACTTGATCAAACACAGAATCAAGACCACTCAAAAAAATGTACACCCGCATCCGAGCCATGGAGGCATGCGTGTGAACTACATCAGCAACAGAAGCGGCAGAGGAGGCCATCCGATGATCAATCTCTTGAAAAATAGAGAGGAGATCAGTGTAATATACGGAGAGAGGGCGGCCATTTTGCTTAGAGGAGAAGGACCGTTGATGGAGTTCGAACAAGCAGGATTCATCCGATCCATCATAGAAAGTGTTCTTCGTGGCCTCCCAGATTTCGTGGGCCGTTTCAAGGCGTATGAACCTCTGCATCAATGGAGGAGACATCGAATCGATTAGCCAGCTTTTCACCCGCTGGTTGTCGGTGACCCAGGTGCCATGAGAGGGGTCGGTGAGAGGAGGTTTCGGTGTCGCACCAGTGAGGAACGCAGTTTTGTTCCTGGCACCAATGCGCATTTCAAGAAGCTGCGACCAGAGAGGGTAGTTGTGGTCATCGAGAATAACAGAGATAGGAAGAGAGGAAGACTCTTGCTGAATGATGATGTTGGATGGTGGTATGATGGGGAAAGACGGTGGGGGCTGAGGGTTGGGATCTGTTTCAGAGGAGGCCATTTCAGCGAAGGAATTAGGGATTTGGTTGGAAGAGCGGGTCGGGTTGGAATAAGAGAGAGAAATTAGTGGGAAAGATTAGGAAAAAAAATGGGTAAAAAAAGTAGGACACTGTTCAAGGATTAAAAAATATCATCTGATACCATGTTAAAAAATAATCCTGGAACTGTTTCTCATTCATTCATATTTCTCATCTCTAATTGAGATATATTTATACAAGTATTCATAACAACTTCTACCAAATAATAGCTAACAATATTCACAAATCTGAACAAATAAACAAGTTACTCTTATCTAATAATAACTACATTTCAAATTAATTCTTATCTTCAACATGCATGAACTTTAATTGCAAGCTTTTTGACTGCACAGGCTAGAGGCCATTTTAGCTGTATGAACTTTGAACCTTTAAGGCATTTGCTATGCTTTTGATGATTTAATTTCCTATCCTAGAATGGAAGAAAGCAACGTGCCCTCCACAACCCTTTTGTTTCCTTCACAGTTCCCACCATCCTACATTCATCATTCTTTGTCCTTATTAAAGAAAAAGCTTTAATTCTGTGTCTTTCCTCAATAGCCGACAAAAGAGTGACCAGAACTCAGAAGAAACTCAAAAATATTTATTCTCACACAACATGAGCAAAATAACAAAGTCTGCTAGTACATTCCAATGGAAAAAAGAACTAAATTACACCATCACCTTCCCACAGTTAAAAAAAAAAAATTGTAGAAGGGAAGCTGTCATAAGAATCTCACATCTGTAATTAGTAACACACATTATCATGTGACCTTGCTATCCTCTTGATTGATCCACCACCACTTCTCAAGCAATAATCAATGCTTGAAGGTACCAAGGGTCCTTGTGATTTTCCATAAGAGTTCCAACACATGGCTTGTTGCAAACCTCGATATTTGAGGGACGGCCTCAATTGAATATCAGTTAAATCAACATCAGTGCAGGGTATGGAGTTGCTGCAAGCTAGATGGACAGGCTGCACTGCATAACTCCCACTTATTTGATCAAACTTAACACCTGAAATAACCACAGTTCCTGTCTGGTTCTTGCAGATATGCTTGTCACAATAGTATTGATCTATCATTATTGGAAACATAACATCATAGACTTGGATTCTGGAAAATGACACATTTTTAACCATACCAATGCCTCCCTATTTAAAGAAAAAAAGAACTCAAATTAATTCCAATAAAATCCAGACTTTATTATAATTAGCCAGGTTTAGTTGCACAAGTAATTAGATTGATACCTGCCAAGTTTTGATCCTTGCTCCGTATAGAGTATTTTTCATTGAGACATCCTCAACAATAATGTCAGAGACACAAGCCACACTCTTGTCTTTTCCTAGTCCTCCTAAACTATATTCAGAAAATTAAATCTATAATGATCAGTGGTTTGCTAACAATCACAATGAGGATGCCAACTTGTATTAACTAGGTTGTATATATCTTTTTTCTTACCTGATACCATGTCCAGGACCACAATTAATGTGGTGGATATGAATATTAGAGCAACCGGTTTGGATGGATACACAGTCATCTCCTGATAATATAAAATAAGAACAAGTATCAATATTATAAACTTTTGATAGAAAATATAAAATTAATATATGTACTATGTAGTCTGGCATCAGTTGGATACCTACTGTGCGCACAGTGTTACAAAAGTTAAAGTTAGTTCAGCTATTAGTATAATTTTTATAAGTTGCACGTTTCAAAAGTTAGTTGCAGTGACAGTTAACCGTTTAAACTTGAAAAGAGTCTCTCAGCCAATCATTCCAGGTCAAAGTAGACACCTTTAAGCTCAACAAGTCTAAGTGGGCAATGCACCATATTGGCCATGATTTAACAATTTACAAGATTCTACTTTGTCAGGCAGAAATGGAATGTACAGTCATTAAAAATAAATTAAATTAATGCCTTACCAGTTCCAATATCAGAATGTTGAATTTCTACGTCCTGTGTGTTTTGCAAGTGAATGCCATCAGTATTTGGGCTATTCTCAGGGGAAGATATTGTAATGTTATTAACTTTAATACCCTTTGAGCTGTCAAATTTTAGATGGCACAGAGGACTGTTTATGATTCTGATATCACGAACTATTACATGGTTGCAGGAGTAGAATCTAATAGCCTGGATATGAACAATGTCATACAAGACTAATGAGAAACTGTTAGAAACTACAACTAAACAAAATTACACACAAAATAATATTTTTGGCTGTTAGGGAAAAAGGAAAATCTTACGGTTGGCTTCATGTCTGGAATTTGATTAAAGCTCTTCTGCAATAATTCATGAAATCAAAATGAGCTTTTTGTTTTGAAATTTCTATTAACTTTGTCATAGACACTTGGAACATGTTTTTGGGTAATCCTACCTGCATATCATAAAATCTTGAGGAGCTCCACCAGTCAGATCCTTGGCCATCTAAAGTGCCAGAGCCTTTGAGGGTGAAGTTCTGCACCCATTTGAAATTTATCCACTGAAACAAACTGGATTTTGGCCAGGAAGATGCTTCAGGAGGAGCCAATAGAGTTCCATCTACCTATTACAGTGTAATTTGCACTAAGTTCATATTTCTACGTTAAATATTTAACTTTTAAAAATGTGACGTATAATATTATTATGTTATGCAATAATAGAACTTCTGTAAACTACTATTTTGAAACTAACTCAAGCAAGATTAAAAAAACAAAAGTGAAAGCAAACCTCAAGAGTAAGGTCAGGCATACAAGGGCCTTGTAAAGTAACAGGCTTGATGAGGAACTTTAGTTGTGATGGAATTTTAACTGTTGCACCAGCAACTTTGCAGGCACCTTTCCATGCAGCTACAAGTGCCTGGTTAATGAACATTCTCTACAAAGTTATAACACTAGCAATTGAAACTCTTTTTATCTTTGAATTCTAAATGCTTTTGCTTTACCTCTGAATCATCAGAAATTCCATTGCCCTTGGCACCAAAAGACAAAACATTAAAAGTGTTCACTTGAGTTGGATATGGACCATAATGAGGAGGAGGAACTGGCGCTGGACATGGAGGATGTGAGCCTCGAGTGTGGCCATTGTTACTATCTTTGTGACGTTTGTGAAGTTTTTTGTTGACGTTAATCTTCCTTGCATCCACAGAAATCATAGAGAAGGTGACAAAGACAATCACCAACAAGGACAGGTAAAAGAGTAGAGAAGGATTTCTGTTCCTCTTCATTCCTTCAGCGGGCCCTTTGTTTGTCTATGTCACTTCTAGAAACAACACTAGCAACGAGAATTCTAGGAACTTCAGGTGGTATTGTGCTTCATACAGGGAAGAAGTTTGGTAGTTATAGACAGTTTATATAGTGGAATGTGGTGGAAACATTGTTGGTTTTCTTCTAATTTTTAAGGGTGCGCTTTTAAAAAGTTGAAAAATCACTTAAGCACAAGATTAGGTTCATTTACAGGGACGTGGATGCACTTGTCACATAATATGAAGATTCCCATCAGTTTGAGATGGGCTGTGCACTGTGCAAAAGTCATATTTGTTTATGTTTATGCTTTCTTTCTGCATATTTTTTTCAATGAAGTGCTGAACCAGAGTTTATTAATTATATATCTATGGTTGTCATTTTGCAGTGAATATTCTGGTTTCTTGTTAAAAATAGCTTTAAGGATGAGGGTCACAATTGGCCCCCATAAGGCATGGCGAAGATGAGATGACTATGCCATCTTAAGTAAATTTAAGTGCATACTATGTATGTTTGGCATGTCAGTCAAAAATGACAGTTTTCTTTTTTTTTTTTTTTTTGAAAACTAAAATGACAGTTTTCTTACCACAAACAAAATAACTTTTTACTCTGTCGTTTTTAATCTCTACTAAACATGAACACTGTTAATCAGCTGTTGGAATAGAAGATTCTATATGTTGTTATGATTTGCTGTGATATGTTGTAACCTGTAGTTTGTTAGGATATGTATAACTGAGTCCTTTTGTAATTAGGTGTAGTTACTTATCTTTAGGAAGTTGTTTTACTATTTGGTAACAGACTGTTTGGTAACAGCCGTAACAGCCTATTCTATTTAAGATACATTGATGTACAGTTTTAAATCAATGGAAATATTATCAATTGATACCATTTATCATGAGCAGTAAAATGAATGTTATTTTTTTTTTAAAAGGAAAAGCAATTGTATGAACATTTCTCGTAATAATGACTGTAACTTACCATTTATCAAAACAAAGTAGCAAAATGAACCTTCACCAAACCAAAAACAATCTATTGGGAGATTCTTATATGCATAATAATTTAATTTGTTTAGTGTAAACTACGATTAGAGGACGAGCCTTACAGTAGTGGTAAAGTTGCTCTTTATAACTATGGAAGGTTACTGGTTTGAGTTTGAGTCCGGGAAACAATTTCTTTACAAAGATGCAACAATGAAGCTGTGACAATTATCCCTCACCCCCATTTTCGCAAGTCGAAAAGTTAGTTTATGATAAATGGCATAGCTAGTGCCTGGGAGATTTTAAGAATTAAATGCAGTGTAAGAGCATTATCTTACATATGATAAATCTAAAAATCTTAGTATGTACAACGATCGGTTACTTATGTAGGATTGTCTCGTTTTCTATGCATGGAATAATCAAACAAATACTCCCCGCATGCTAGTACTAGTAAAGTAGTAGTAATTAAATGAAAAGAATAATGTACATTAACAAACCATATTATAATGCTTACCATTTTCTGTTGTAAATCATTAATCATTAATTTTTGGTTGCAATTTCCTAATGTAGTATTATAGTCCTTCATTTGTTAGTGCGAGAAAAAAGTCGTCTCACAGGAGAGCATAATTTAAGCCTTAGCTTCGTTGTTTTTACATTGGTTCCTTTTTCCCTAACGGCACCATCTGACCATAATTAGAAACTTGATAAGGATAATGTAATCATTTGAATGATTGGTAGTAATGGCTACAAGACAAAGGCAGCTTACCCAACAACAAATCAGCAATGGAAAACCAGGTCATTGCCCTACTAAATAAAAGTATAAAACCCTTATCTTCTACAAAGCACTGGGTTTATTATGAGCAGAAAGCACACAGAGGAGCTTGTTGTTACTGTATTCATTGTGTAACTGTATTAAAGAAGAAGACCAACCAGGGGTCAGGTATTCCTAGGTTTCAATGTTTCAGACAAATGAGAGTGTTCCACTAAAACATTCACTATTAAAAGCATTATTTTATCATCAATAATATAGAAATGTATTTACACAATTATCTCAACATAAATTGTATATAATAGTATAATTGTTAATGAGACGCTGCATCTTAGTATTACTGCCTATCCAAAAGCCCTGTGAGTGTGAGTGTCACCTAAATATTCTTTTTCCAAATTGATATAGCCACATCAACAATTAATGGTCATAAATTATGCAGTAAAAGATGGTGTTAGTAGCATTTCTCATACCAAAATCGTTTTCACAGAAAATGTGCTAATTAAGCCTTACTTGGTAGAAATTGCTGAGGCAATTTCTGTGGTTGTGTAGAAAGTAAGACTCTCCCAAGTTCCAACCCACAAACTGGTTTATTTTAATGGTTGCTTTATAGTATTAGGAATCAGAAGGTGGTTTACACGTATACATAGAGGATTAAAAAACAGGAGAGGGTTCTAGCTGAAATTGTAGAGTGAGCCTCAATTGGAGACATACATGACTGTATGGGTTGCAAAGAGTGTCCAAATACTAGGTGTATGTTTGTCTTGTTCACGCTGGTGGGGCAATTTGGGACAAACTCTCTTTCTCTTTTGCATAGCTTCCTCTTATCCACCTAAGGAGGGCAAGTGTCGTTTCGAGCAGCCAATAGAAGGGTTCAAATTTTCCACAACGTACAATGATGTGTTGGAGTATTCAAGTGTGATGAGTCCCACATTGGTTGGTAATGAAACTAAGTGAAGAGTATATAAGTGGAAGGACCCATGAACCCAATGCCTTAAGGTTTTGGGTTGAGACGTGGTGTCGGATCCACTTGGTGTACTTGGAGTAAACTTGACTCATTGGTGGTAGCCCCCCGCCACGGGCTTTCCCCTGGACCTGCCTGACAATGGTATCAAAGCCGGGTTGGGCTCGAGCTAACCTGGTGATCCGCTAGGAGGCGGGTTGAGTACTTGGGCCCCGTACTCGGTTGAGGGGGAGCATATCAATGTTGGGTTTCACACTTCAGGGGAAGATTGTTTGGAGTATTCAAGTGTGATGAGTCCCACATTGGTTGGTAATGAGCTAAGTGAAGAGTATATAAGTGGAAGGATCCATGAACCCAATGCCTTAAGGTTTTGGGTTGAGACGTGGTGTCGGACTCACTTAGTGTACTTGGAATAACTTGGCTCATTGGTGGTGGCCCCCCGCCACGGGCTTTCCCCTGGACCCGCCTGACATGATGCACTTACATTTAGCTCATTGCACATGACCCAACTATTGATTCAGAAAGCCCAGAGTCAACCAGAATTGTGGCCCAAATATTGAAAGAAACGGTAATTTAAAATATAACAAATTACAATTAAATCCAAGTCCAAATGAAGCATCAGATGTGATTGCGATTTGTTTGATAAGAAAAGGGAAGCAATTGGCATGATTTGAGATATAAAATTTGAGACGTATTTTGAATGATTTAATTTAGAGGTTAATTGTCGTTATGTTTATTTTAGGAATTTTCCTTATTTTTAGGATTTTAGATTTTAGATTTTTAAATTTTGAATCAATTTGTAATTAGTCTATAAAAGGGTGCTTATTACCCTTATTGTAAGAGTTTAATATTTTTTATGGGGAAGGATATTGTAACAACCAATTAGTGTTACTACCAATATCACTACCAATCAATCTTACATCACTACCAATCAATCTTACCGTTAGATTGATTATGTTGATCTAATGGTTATATTTATTTCCATCTTTGTACGGTTATGATTCCCCATATTAAATATAAGGAATCGTAACCATAATTTAATATTTTATATTTATTTTCACATTTTTATGGTTACGATTCCTTATATTTAATATGGGGAATCATAACCGTACAAAGATGGAAATAAATATAATCGTTGGATCAACATACTCAATCTAACGGTGAAATTGATTGGTAGTAATATTAACACTAATTTGTTGTTACAATATCCTACCCCTTTTGTTATTTTAATAATAGAAATTGAGAACCGGAGGGTTACTCTTTTGTGAAATCCTAACTTTCTGTTTAGCTACTTTTCTAGGTTGCCTTCAACCAATGGCTGAACAGAATTGTGGAGGTCGATGACAGCAGAGTCACGAGGCTAGGGAACGTGGATTAATTCCTGAAGAATATAGACAATTGTGTCAGATTGACCCGCGAGATATAGAAAATGAAGAGCTTGGAAGGCGGATCCAGGATTTGAAGCGACAACTTGAGTAAGCGTTGGATAAGAAAATCCAAGTTTTTCAGCGACAACTTGTGCAAACGCAGAGAAAGATAATTCAAGATTTAGAGTGACGACTCGTGCGAATATGCATGAAAATCCAAATTTTGAAGCGAACTCTTGTGGAGGCGCAGAGCATGAAAATTCCATATTTGGAGCAGCGACTTGCGTGGATAAAGCTGAGCATTCAATCCGAAGAAGGAATGGAATTAGAGGACATATTCCATGACGAAGAAGAGGACGTCAATCCTTTCGGTATTCTAAACCAGGGACAGAATTGGAAGATACAACTTGAAAATCAGTCCACTTGTAAAGATATCGAGATGCAAATCAACATTCCTGACTTTGAAGTTTATGATCATAATCCAGTTTATGATGATTATCCAATCTACGATGATTATTTAGCTTCTGATAAATCTAACGGAGAATTAGATGATGGAGATTTAATCGAGGAAGAATTGTAATTTCAGATTCTACCTAAAGAGATTGAGAACAGTGAAGAAAAAGAAGATTCAAGGACAAACATTTTCCTAGCAAACGATGCACTTACAGTTGGCCCATTGCACATGACCCAACTATTGATTCAGGAAGCCAGAGTCAACCATAATTGTGGCCCAATAAATATGGCTCAATTGTTAAAAGAAGTAGTAATTTGAAATATAACAAATTACAATCAAGTCCAAGTCCAAATGAAGCATCAGATATGATTGCGATTTGTTTGACAAGAAAATAGAAGCAACACATTTGGCATGATTTGAGATATAAGATTTGTGACGTATTTTGAATGATTTAATTGTAATTAATTTTTTATTTTTAGAGGTTAATTGTCGTTATGTTTATTTTAGGAATTTTCCTTATTTTTAGGATTTTAGATTTTAGATCTTTGAATTTTGAATCAATTTGTAATTAATCTATAAAAGAATGCTTATGACCCTTATTTTAGGAGTTGAATATTTTGTTATTTTGATAATAGAAATTGAGTATCGGAAGATTATTATTTTATGAAATCCTAATTTTTTATTTAGCTATTTTTCTATCGCTTTCGGCATCATACAAGCTAGATTCCAGGAACCAATAAGGTTTCTACTTCCAAGTTTCACCAAAAATTTTCAGACTAATCACATTTTGGAGGAGACTTCTCTATTTTTGGCAGAACCCTGTCACACTATTCTCAAATATATAAGCAAAAGCATTAAACTTGTTGAAGAATCGTACTGCGATTATAGAAGGCAATATAATCACACTTTTGTTGTTTAACATCAATAGCTGAATGCGGGTGATATATGAAGGAAACTCCTCATTCACAACTATAAAAATAAAGAGTTTGTCAAAGAATTTAACATGCAGTTATCTAGAGAAACATCCAAGGAATTTCCGAAAACTAATTATGAGCAATAGTGTGACTTAATTGAATTAGGAATTTCATAGTATAAAGAATGGAAAAAATTATTCCTATATTATGTGAAATAAGTTTTTTTTCTTATACACCCTTCGATAATTATAGTACCTTTTTCTTTTCTTTTCTTTTTTCATTTTTCAGGTGATGGAAGTTATAAGTTTGTCTCTATCACATGAGATAACTTATCTTCTTTAACATGATATTAATAAAATGTATAAAAAAATCTCGGTATTTTGTTACACCTTTCAAAAGCGATAGATAATCATGGTGGTCTTACCAAAAGGTCCACGTAGCTCAAACTGACCGCTCAGTACGGTTTCATAGTCGTCTAATTTTGTAGGTGAATTGCTTTTGTCTTTTATGGGCCCACCTATAAAACCTACAAAAATTATGTAGCAATTATCTTTAAAAAAAAAAGAATATGGGATCAATTTTGTTTATCTTTGTACCTCTTAATAAAAATTTCTATAATAAAAATCATGTATCACTGTTATATATCACGAATGCATTTGGTGAAATGCCTCACGATTAGGAATGAGATGATGTATAAATTACACACAGAGAGATAACATATAAAGTTATTAATGACCTTTATTTAAAAGACTTAAAGTTATTAGGTTGATTAATTGGTTTCAAAGTATTAACCATTTCTCTTTATTTTATTAGTTGTACTTATTTATCCTAAAAATATATTTTCTAAAAAACAAGTATATAAAATTTATCCCTAAAAAAAACATTTAAGAAGTGTTTGGTACGTATTCTTCAGGATTCTTGAAAAACTGAATTTTTTTAAATTTTTAATTTTCGGATATTATCGTAAACATATTTTTGAAAATCGAAATTCTCGGATAAAAAAATTTCTCCTCTACCAAACGTTCCCTTAAAGTAAACTTGTAAGTAGGGGTGAAAGTGGGCTGGGTTGGGCCAAACTTTGTCCCGAAAAGCCCAAGCCTACGCCAAAAAATTTTAATTTGACCTGACCCAAGCCTAGTATGAGTCTAACTGTTAGCCTGACTTGGCCCGTTTATAAAAAAAACAAATGGCCTGGCTTGGCCCGTTAGCCTGTTAATTTTTAACTTCAAAGCATAACCATGAATCAACTTTACGAAGTACTCAAATTCTGTTGCTACACCAAAAATCATAATTTTAACATCCAAACAGAATCATGAATCATAACAAAACTCATACAATATGCATTTAAGTTATTTTCAAAAGCAAAATGCTCAAACTAAATAACATATATTTCATCATATCCAACAATCAAATCTATACTACGTAAATTAAAATAACTACATAAATCCAACAAACACATCATGATGCTTGTAGTAAGTATAATTTTTCCCAAAAATCTTTTAAAATATACATATACACAATCTAACATATTGAGATGTTGGTTCTTCCTATATAAAAAATAAAGTAAGATTTCTATTAAAATATAATTAAGTTATAAATAATTGTAATTGATTAAATTTATATCTTTTATTTTTCCTTCAAAGCATACTTACTCTATTTTATTTTATTTAAAATAAATAGTATAATATTGGTCGGTCTGTAGGCTTATAGGCTCGGCGTTTTGAAAGTGGGTCCACGACCTTTTTTATTAAACAAATTTTTTTATGACTCAAGCCCGACCTATTATACAAAATATATTAGGTCAGAATTAACCTGATGTAGGCCGAGCCGTAGACCTCTTTAAAACGACCCAGCTCAATTTCACCTTTACTTGTAACGTGAATAAGAAATATTAGAATGATCTTCTTTTTCTCTCTCATTTCATATCTAAAAGGTGTGAAAGGAAAGTTAACAAAGTCATATGAAAATAGGGAGAAGTGTGTATTCTAAAAAAAAGTGAAAGAAATAGATAAATTATGAAAATGACAGAATTGACAACACACGTAATAACATTGTTAAACATTAGTACAGAACACACAGAGACAGCTAGCCTCAAGTTTTGACTTCAATGTTGCTCACTCGGTTTCTTGTTCGAGTTTGCAACCTTTCATTGTCGTAGGATGCATTGCAACAATGTATCTTTCACACTTCACTTTCCTTCGCTTTCTTGTCCACAGCAGTTCCCACGCATTATCTTGGATATTTTCTAGCATTTCAAACACCATTTCCGTTCATATCTGCTAACAACAGAAACAGCTTCTTCCAACTTCAATAATGTTCTTTCACTCTTTTGCATCGTTTCTGGTTATTTTACTTTGTCACCATGCACTTCCTCTTCTTGCTGATCCAAGAGCCACGGAGGCAGCAGTGTTATGCACCAACAGAACTGCTCCAATGCCTGACCCTCAAGTTTTGAAAGCAAATTTTTTTGATGCCTTGGAAGCATTGACCTCTCTGGTTACGAGACAAAGATATGCAGCTGTTGTTAAAGGGACTCAAAATGCCACCGTCTATGCTTTTGGCGAGTGCATGAAAGACCTTTCTCGACCAGATTGTGATGTCTGCTTTGCCAAGTGCAAGACACAGGTTCTCAGGTGCTCCCCATTTCAGAGAGGCATTCGTGGTGGCAGGCTTTTCTTTGATGGGTGCTATCTAAGGTACGATGACTACAACTTCTTCAATGAGAGTCTTAGTTTTCAAGACATGACAGTGTGTGGAACCAAAGATTTTACTGGGAATAGGACTGTTTATAAGGCCAATACTCTGGAGTTAGTGAGAAATTTGAGCATAGAAGCACCAAAGAGTGAAGGGTTCTTTGTGGGGTCTTTGAGTCGAAGGAATGTTACTGTTTATGGGTTGGCTCAATGTTGGAAATTTGTGAATGGCAATTCCTGCAAGAACTGTTTAGCTGAAGCTGTTACTAGGATTGATTCATGTACTCCAAGAGAAGAAGGGAGGGTATTGAATGCTGGATGTTACTTGAGGTATTCTAATCACAAGTTCTATAATAATTTAAGCAACGATACCCCTCTTCCTCGAGGAAATCAAGGTGAGTTGGTGGCACTGTTCGGAAATTTCCCTTCTCTCTCTCTGTTTTGGTTGGTGTTTTTGTGCTTTTAAGCAATTTCAGGTGCACATTTTGTCCATGTTGTTTTTTGTTTGTTATGGTAATTTATTTCTTAACAATAAGACAATAGACCTTGTTATGCAAAGCAAAAATCTTCATAACTCGATCATTATTATGAGATATCATACCAATAAAGCCATGTATTAATAATGTTTTGTTAGGAAGTAGAAATTTTGGTATCATTGTGGCTGCATCATCTTCCACCCTGGCTCTTCTGCTGATTGTTGCAACAGTTGTTTTCTTCATAAGGACAAATTTACTGAAGCGGAGGAGAGGTATCAGTGTGTGATATTTGGGAATATTACAGATTGTTCAAACTTCAACTACTGAAACTTATTGTAATGTTTGCTTTTACCTCAGAAAGAAGACAGTTTGGTGCACTTTTGGACACAGTGAACAAGTCAAAACTAAATACGCCATATGAAATTCTTGAAAAAGCTACAAATTACTTCAGTGATTCAAATAAGCTAGGAGAAGGTGGATCAGGTTCAGTTTATAAAGTAACTTCTGATCTTTACCTATTATTATCTTTTTGACGTTTTGACCACCAAATTGTTGCTTAAAGATGGGTTGACAGTGCTTTTATATCAATATAGGGAGCTCTGCCAGATGGAAATACCGTGGCCATAAAAAGACTTAGCTTCAACACAACACAATGGGCAGATCATTTCTTCAATGAGGTCAATTTGGTCAGTGGCATTCATCACAAAAATCTAGTGAAGATTTTAGGGTGCAGCATTACAGGACCTGAAAGTCTTCTTGTTTATGAATACGTGCCTAATCTGAGCCTCCATGATCACCTATCTGGTTGTTATTTTATATCTGATATCTGGTCTTAAAGACATTACCTTTTAATTTAGAATTGTTACTTATGTCTCCTTTTATCTGTTCCAGTTAGAAGGAATTCTCAACAGTTGACATGGGAAATCAGGCATAAGATCATATTGGGAACGGCAGAAGGTTTGGCCTATCTTCATGAGGAATCACAAATGAGAATCATTCATAGAGATATAAAATTAAGCAACATTCTGCTTGATGATAACTTCACACCCAAGATTGCTGATTTTGGACTTGCTAGATTATTTCCAGAAGACAAGTCTCACCTCAGCACAGCCATTTGTGGCACACTGTAAGTTCAAGACCCTCAGTAATATAATGCAGATACATTACATAAATGAAATTCAAATAAGATTGGGGGAAGAAAAAACCTTTTTTTTATAAGGGTTTAGTGTTTCTCCACTTATTGCTCCCATACATTTTCAACACACGGTTCATAACTTCAGATACTCTTTCTACACACTCTTACAATTTATTTTATGTCCACATGTAGGGGTTATATGGCTCCAGAGTATATAGTTCTAGGGAAGTTAACTGAGAAAGCTGATGTCTATAGTTTTGGAGTTTTAGTTATTGAAATTGTATCCGGCAAAAGAAGCAGATCCTTTGTTAAAGATTCAATTTCCATCTTACATACGGTAACACTCTTTATCATTTGGCATACTTCTACTAATTCATTTTGAGCTTTTAACAAGTGTTCTTACGGATTTTCATAGGAGATTGATCATTTTTATTTTCTCCTATTGTACAACTTCAAGGTTTGGAGCCTTTATGGATCAAATAGGCTATGTGACATTGTTGATCCAATCCTTGAGAGATTTTATCCGGTAGAGGAAGCATGCAAACTCCTTAAGATAGGGCTGCTTTGTGTACAAGCATCTGCAGAGCTACGACCACCAATGTCAGTAGTTGTAAAAATGATTGTTAACAATCATGAAGTTACTGAGCCAACACAACCACCGTTTCTTAGTTGTGGTAGTTCAGAATTCAGCAAATCTACTTTACCAGGAGATAGTTTTCAATCTGGATCCCACACTCAGTCTTCAGGGGACAGCATGACCAAAAGTATGATTGAGCATAGAAGGGACACACTATAAATCTGAATATTTTAGAGCACACAACCCATAAGAACCTTTATCGTAAGAGCACTTTAATTCTTAATAAAGACAGCATGCTGGACAAAATGGTTTCAACTAAAAACATGGCTTGTACATATTACATGCAAAGGTGCTTGATATGCTTTTGCATATATTGGTTTTACCTTCTGATAAAAAAATTAAATTAAATATAAAAGTTGAGTTTTGGTCAAAACATATGCATATTACATATCCTTGTTATGAAAAAGTATCAATGAATAGGGTGATCCAAGCAAACTATTATTCTTTTGTAACCATTTCACTTTTCTTCGAATTTGTAGACATCGGGCTCTTTAGCACTTGATCTATAGCTTGTTTGAATAAAGAAAAATGCTAAATAGTTCTGGTATAAGATCTTTAAAATTAAAATTAAAAAAAAAAAAAATTGCCGGAACAGACCGTTAGGAATTTGGACACTTACAACCAAAAATTATTTCCAGAAAGGGATAAAGTACGCCGATGTATGAATGATTTAGAGAGCTAATGATATAGAAATACAATATTCAATCCCTTACCATGGGCCTTATCGATTAGTCCAATGGACTAGACCTATTTGGTCAGTTTATAACAATTACAATGCCCAAATTGAAAAAGTTACCAAAAACACATTCCATGTTGACCTAGATTTTCGTCTGCACAAGATGTGAGTAATGGAGCTTCCACATTAGGATTGCAAAGCTTCCGCCTTTTATCCCACATTTAAAATTCCAACTAAACAATCTATTAAACCACTAATACATGCGCCACGTCATGACATCATCATCTTCTACTCTTATTAATTGGATGTTGGTTTGTATTGGAAATATTCACGTGTAAAGTGTTGAAATCCCATATAAATGAAGAGAGGCGGGGGGGGGGGGGGGGGGGGCATAAAATTATAATTTTAAGATTTTGGATTGAAATGTTGGGTTGAATCTACTTACTTATCATGATTTTGATTCTTGACTGAGTTTGTTAGAGAAGTATAACTTTTTGGGTTGAAATGGTTTTGGTGTCATGGGTTCATCTCCTCCTCCTCTCACTTTCTTTTGTGAAATTTCTTAGCGTAGGCAGGTGGGCATGTGTATTATTCACCCTTGAAGCTAGCTCTCGGGCTCTTGTATGAGAGAGCGTGTTAAAGATATATAAAATCATTAATATAATCCTATTTATTAGCTTAAACTTTTGGGTTGAATTGATTCTTTACAGAGTTGAATATTTGGATATGGTAACACACTTTTTGAAAAGAAGAGTAATGGAGAAAGCTTGAATTTGTTTAATTAAAAAAGGGGCAGAATATACTTACAACCAAAAGTATTTACCACATTTATAACCAATCTAATTATCGTTGATTTTCATCAATCTAATGGTTATAGTTTATTAGATTTATTGAAAATTAATAATTAATTAATAAGGGCGACCCCGGTAATTCTCAATAAATTATAACCGTTAGAATGACGAAAATCAACGGTGATTAGATTGATTGTAAGAGTGATAAACATTTTTTATTGTAAGTATATTCTTCCCCACTGAAAAAATAGGAAGACTTATTGGAGAGAAAAAAAATAACAAGACCAAAATCGAATATCCCTCAAACTAAAAGAATGAAAAACCAAACATTTTTATTGTTTCTAGCAACAGGGTTTAAAGTTTTTAAACATATTTTAGATAATTTTATTTAATGTTTATTAAAATATATACACGAAAAATGTATGAGATTGATATTTTTCTTTTTTCTTTTTTGTTCACATGAGTCCACATGATTCTCATATATTTTTTTATGTATATTTTAGTGAATATTAGATAAAAAAAAATTTAAATTTAGAAATTTTAAACCATTTTCATATTATAAATACGGTGGAAACCGAAAAAATTGCAGGTGCAGGGCAACATAATAAATTCGTAGGATATTATAGGAAAATATTTTCCGCTCAATTGAACGCACGATATTGTTACCGCGTAACTGTTCTCTACTCTACGCTCACTCTCACACTCTCTCCCCTTCACTCGTCAAAGTTTCAACTTTGGAGTTGCTACCCTACCACAATATCCGTGTTTGACTCGTTGCATGAGTTATGATCTCTATCTTCTTAACTAGCTAGCTACAAATAAAATATTCATCTCAATTTCAATTCTCACACACAACTTGAGTTCAATCAAGTCTGAGTGTTTCTACGCAGAGCAGAGGTAAGAACTTCCTTCAAATTCTGCACCTTTTTCTATCTACTTCTCTTTCGGATTTCCCATGTTGAACTTGTACTATATATATGTAACAAAGTTTGCTTTGTTATCACGTACAACAAACCCAGGAACATCTTAACTACACACAAACCTTATTCATTTGCCTCAACCACTGTTCTGTCTTTTCTTTCTTTTCTTCTTTTCTTTTTTTTTTTTGTTATTTTTCTTCTTACCATGTGAAAGATCACTACACTGGTTTGATTTCTATGGCAAAGACGTGGCTGCTAGTATGCCACGTGTGGGGTCTATTCTGAATGGATAATAAATGGGTAGGTTTTCTTGTGGGGAAAGGTTTTTATTCCGATACCGACATTTTCTTTAGAAGCTTTTTTTTTTTATTTTCATAACCAAATAAAAATAGAAAGGTATATCAATAATAAGAATTTAAAAATGAAAGAAGTATTTTTCATGTCTACCTTATCACTGCGTTATAATAATTAATTATTAGTTAACACCGTTAGTTAATTAGGTAACACACTGCTGACTTATTTTTCCGAGAGGAAAAAAATTACGTGAGTTGATTGACCAATTGATACGCCATACAACCACTGATTTAGACGGAGTTATGGAGAATTAATGCTTATTAATCCAAAAGTCTGTGACTTGTTATTTTTTTTCAGCGTCATTCATACGTCATATTAGTCTGAGCAAGTGTGAAACTAAGAGTTTTACGCTGCCTTATAAAAAAGGAGGAAAAAACCAAAATTTGCCTTTTTTAAATAGTGATGGCCCAATCAATAGTACTTGTTTTGAAACTTGAAGACGGCAACAAAAAAGTTAATGTCGACTTTGGTTTGTGTCCTCCTTTCACACACTAGTTAGTTGTTATTTTACGAATGCTTTTTTGCCACGAGATACTCTTTGATTTTAAGTGGCCCTTATACTCAGTAATAGAAAAGTTTTGAAATCTCACGTCACTGAAATAGGAATTGTGTTTACCATACAAGGTTGGTTGATTTGATGCATGTTGTGACCATTTTAGCTTAAGCATAAAAAGCAATTATAACAAATAAATAAACTTCATTGAAAACAAGACAATCATAAACATGGAATGATCTTTTTATCTGAAATAGCCACCCAAAGATTCTAAAACCTCCTTTTTTTGTTTCCACAGTTCCTTGCCAGCAACCTACCAGAGAAAGTGATTCAGATCGGATCAATCCCAAAAATGAAGAAAATAGTCCCTCTCATCTCTTTTCAATACCTCTTTTTCCTTCTCACCAAGTTTCTATCACTATCAGAAACTGTAATGGCAGAACCAAGGGCCAAGACAGTCCTAATAACATGTGGACAGCAACTAGAGCACAACACCTCTATCTTTGTTCCAAATTTTGTTGCAACTATGGAGAACATCAGTGAACAGATGCGCAGTACTGGCTTTGGCACAGCAGTTACAGGCACAGGACCTGATACCAACTATGGCCTGGCTCAGTGCTATGGAGATCTTTCATTACTTGACTGTGTGTTATGTTATGCTGAGGCACGCACGGTTCTTCCACAGTGCTTCCCTTATAATGCTGGTCGCATTTACTTAGATGGTTGCTTCATGAGAGCTGGGAACTATAGTTTCTTTAATGAGTATAAAGGACCAGAAGACAGAGCTTTATGTGGGAACTCAACTAAGAAGAACTCAAGCTTTCAAGCAGCAGCAAAGCATGCTGTTTTAAGAGCAGTTCAAGATGCACCCAACAACAAAGGCTATGCTAGAGGGAAGGTTGCTGTATCAGGAACTGCAAACGAGTCTGCTTATGTTCTGGCTGATTGTTGGAGGAGTTTGGACACAAGCTCTTGCAAAGCGTGTCTTGAGAATGCATCTTCTTCCATATTGGGGTGCTTGCCTTGGTCAGAAGGGCGAGCACTCAACACCGGGTGCTTCATGAGGTACTCAGACACAGATTTTCTTAACAAGGAACTGGGAAATGGGAGTTCAAGAGGTAAATAAATTGCAGTTTTCTTCACACTTTATAGTTGACTATCAAATTGTTCTAGGATCCAGCTTCCTGCATTAATAAATATTTACTCACGAAGTAGTGGTAAATCTTGAGTGTGAGTTCATTTTGCTCACTTGTGCAGGTAATGTAGTAGTGATAGTTGTTGCAGTAGTCAGTTCGGTGATTGTTTCGGTGGTTGGAGTAGTTATTGGGGTTTATATATGGAAACAGAGATACATTCAAAAGAAACGAAGAGGTAATTGACCTATTTAATAACTTACCTCTATCTGCCTATGAGAATGACAAACCCAAAAAATCACACCATTCCCATTCCCCTGAAGGTAGAAAGCTGAAACTATTTATGTGTAATGCAAATTTTATATCATAGTCCTTGTCCTCTTAAATACTATTTGTGGATTCTTTTTTTCTTCCGAGAGATTCACCTTGTCCTATAAAAAGTGAGGAATCATCACTTGTTATAGCACAACTACGTTAAGGGTGCTAATTGATCTTAATGGTCATTCTGGTTTCCAGATTCAAATGATACAGAAAAGTTAGCAAAGACTCTTCAGCACAATAGCTTGAACTTCAAGTACTCTACATTGGAAAGGGCTACTGGATCTTTTCATGACAATAACAAGTTAGGACAAGGAGGATTTGGAACAGTTTACAAAGTAGTTCTCTTCTCTGAAGACCTATATCCCCACCATTTTACATATCAAAGCTATACTCTTACAATTTGCTAATTGCTATTGCAGGGAGTTCTAGCTGATGGAAGAGAGATTGCTATCAAGAGGTTATATTTCAACAACAGACATAGAGCAGCAGATTTCTACAACGAAGTCAACATAATTAGTAGTGTGGAACACAAGAATCTGGTCAGACTGTTAGGATGCAGTTGTTCAGGACCTGAAAGCCTTCTTGTATATGAATTTCTGCCCAACAAAAGTCTTGATCGCTTCATTTTTGGTAATTGCTAAACTCATGCAGTAGGCTGTCTCTTCTCAGATCTTAAAATGACACTTAAACTAATTCATGCTTGTTCAAGTTATCAACCACAATGTCTCACTCTAATCATTAAGTGATTATCAATATATCATAATGTGAACTAAACATTATATTTCTAAATTTATGCATGACAGATAAAACAAAGGGCAAGGAACTGAACTGGGAAAAGAGATATGAAATTATCATCGGCACAGCTGAAGGATTAGTTTACCTGCACGAGAATTCCAAAATAAGGATAATTCACAGAGATATAAAAGCCAGCAACATCCTATTGGATGCAAAGCTTCGTGCAAAAATTGCAGATTTTGGTTTGGCCAGATCCTTTCAGGAAGACAAGAGCCACATAAGTACAGCTATTGCAGGAACTTTGTAAGTATCTTTATTGATAATGAGTTTTTTCGTAGGTAATTAGAGAGTTTTGAACAAATTATAATAAGAGGCAAAGAGCCAAGTGCTATTGCTGAAAACTGCAGTGTAATATATCTGAAATGGTCACGTACACTTTTTTCCTGGACCTGCAGGGGGTATATGGCTCCGGAGTACCTAGCTCATGGCCAGTTAACAGAAAAAGCAGACATATATAGTTTTGGGGTGTTACTGCTAGAGATAGTTACTGGTAGACAGAACAACAGGAGCAAAGCATCAGAGTATTCAGACAGCTTAGTTACAGTGGTCAGTTGTAGTTTCCTTGGTTTTTTTGTTCTGATTGTTGTTCAATTGTACATTAATCATGGTGAAGACAAGATTAAGGACTGAACTAACTATTCTTTTCTTTCTTTTATCTAATATATTCTGGCAACACCAGACATGGAAGCATTTTCAGTCAGGGGCTGCAGAACAATTATTTGATCCAAATCTAGAGTTGCAGGAGGACAACGATATCAATGTTAAGGATGAGATTTTAAGAGTGGTTCACATAGGACTTCTATGCACCCAAGAAGTCCCTTCATTACGACCAACCATGTCAAAGGCACTACAGATGCTAACAAAGAAAGAGGAGCATCTTGCAGCTCCATCTAATCCACCCTTCCTAGATGAGAGTACCATGGAACTCCATGACACAAACGGTGACCCATTTTACCCTCCGAATGCAGCTGATTCAATTGCTACTATGTCCTATAGCTCTTTTCATCCCAGATGACCATCAGAATGCAAAGAAAAACACTCCACACAGCAAGTCTGCAGCACAGCTTGACTTATGATCGGCAAATAAATTGGTCTGGCTCAGACCTATGACACTGAAGGTTGCTAACAACGCATTTAGTCAATTGCCATTTAAAATATATACTTCAGATAAGGGGAGTTGTTAAGCAAAATTTCCTATACGTTTATGGGAAGCAAACAATGTACAGTGTATAGTACCATGGTTAACATTGTCTTACATTGATGATGAAATTTTAGATTAATCTGACATGTAACAGCTCATAATTACTCCGTTTGGATACTACTACTATTTATTTACGAAAGACTAGTTTTAATTGAGGAAAAAAATAAGGTGCAGATTATAATGTTTTAATATTTTGCGCTTTAATATGTCAAACAAGACAAACTGATTAAGCAATACAAACTCACTCAGAACGTGATCAAGAGGAGCAAATGGGTTTTGGTGACAATGTCAAACACAGCAATTTTCAATTTAATAATCATGACGGAACCATTATTTGAGAAATGATAATATGAAAACATGACTGGAGCATTTCCTTGGAACATTTATCTTTGCAAATAGAATTAACAACAGAATGCTAGGCAGAAGAGCTACAGTTGACTTAATAGTAATATACTTGGATTAACAACAGAATTTGGGTTTTCACAACCTGAACACTGTCCACACCACGGGGAGCAAAATCTAATGTAGACAAAGACAACTCATAAATCCCATCTAACGTTTAGCTACCAAGCACCCCATGAGGCCTCCACTGATCTCATAATGTCGGGCAGTAGAAAATCCTACTTCTAAAGCAAGTTTCTCCAATTCCTTTCCTGCATCAAAGTAGGATTCTTAAATTAGGCAATCGAGGTGACAAAATTTTACCATCAATAGACACATTAATTTACTTTTCCCTTTGTTTGCCAAGTATTTTCCTTTTATTAAACACGATTATAAACTGCGTGAACTTCACTTGCTCATCCTTCGATCAATAGAATTGTACCAAAGGCAAGTCAGAGGTGAGCAGTTTTAGCAAAGTATGTAGCTACAGTCTTCTCAATCCACAGCAGCGAAAATAAATCATTTACAAAGTTTCTCAATATCTCTCAAGTACAGAGAAGACTGAGATGAGAGGAAACAATGTCATGAACCTACTAAATAACTTTTCAAAATATAATTAAGTATTAGAAATTTGATCTGATAAGAGCCTTAAATTGGAAACAAACCTGTTAAAAATTCTCTTATTGAACTCTTGAGATATCTGTACTCCTCTGAAAGGCCATAACCAGAGGCCACAGGAACAACAACGTTGTCAATCATCCATTCCTAGCAGCAGTAAACACATTAGGGGGCGGGGGGAGGTAGATCTTGAAACCACAACACAAAATCAAAATGACAAAAGCAAATTAATCAAAATTGTAGAATATATTGCAATCTCACATCGTTAACACATATGGACTGTGATTTTTTCTCTGAATTTAAGCAGTGTCAAACATAAATGCTGCTAGGGACATCAGTCCTGTGAAACTGATAACACAAAGGCATTGCTGAATAGAATAAATTTATTTTTCTTTAACTTATCTTAATTTTCAACCCTACCCAAGTCCCCTAATTTATTGAGATGGTCAGAAGGGTGACTAGATTTCTTCATAATGAAAAAGCATTGTTGTGTGCAAAGGTACAAATGAGTTAGGTCAAGCCAGGTTTCAGCCTAAATTAGCTATACCTACGTAAAATATTTTAAACCCAACTTGGCTTGTTAGCTTGATATAAGCCAAATTATAAGCTAGGTCTGGCTTGGTTATAAATAATATAAGGCTTGGTCTGGCCTATCAAGCCTTCAAAAATGACATATCGCACTATGTAAAATATAGGTTATGATTATTTTATTTTTTTTATATTATTTTAAAAAAATACAAGCTAGGTGATATGCCTCCAACATATAATGTTTTAAAGGCTAAAAAAAGCAAGGATTTAATCTAAATTTAGTTAAAAAGGCTCATAATCATGATAAAGTTTGATATCCATGTTCAGACTCGCTCTCATAAAAATCTTGTGTTTTGTAGGTAAAATTACATGGAAAAGAGATCAAATCGCAAGAGCAAGGCAAAAACAAAGTCTCTCGCGCCAGTAGCGCGGGATTGGCGCTGTCAGCGCCAGAGAATCTTGAAGCCCCTGTTTGATTGTGCCAGTAGCGCAGAACTTGCGCTAGAAGCGCCAGCACTGTGAAATCGCCCGCGCCAGTAGCTTGTAAGTGGCGCTACCAGTGCCAGAGTCATAATCAAGTCTTATTTTATCCGCGCTATCCGCGCCAATAGCGCGGATAAAATAAGACTTCATTAGGATTTAACCAACTTATTAGAATTAAAGGGCTAAAGTCACTAAGAAATTAGGATTTAACCAACTAATTAATTAGAAGATGAAGGCTTAGAGGCCAGGCCTTCTAAAATGAGCTTATGGTCTGATTTCTACAGAGGCATTTTAATGAGCTCAAGTTTGTACTATTTTTAAAATGGGTCAAGCCAAGCTAGGCCAAAAGAAGGTCAAGTAGTAGGCCCCTGACAAGTCGCCTAACTCATTTACATCCTTGGTTTTGTTAATTAATATTATATCTCATACATTACAAAGCAACAACTAGCAAGACTAAGATATTAATTCACACCCCTGGTTGTGTGAATTAATATTATATCTCATACATTACAAAGCAACAACTAGTAAGACTGAGATATACCGTGATTGAAAAAGTTAGCCACTCATTGCTTTTATTAAAGTCAAGGATAGACACTCTAGAGCCTGGAAAGCAAAAGAAAGCATAGGATGTGTCAAATTTTATATAAACACCAAGATCATATCAACGAGTTTGAGATACAAAAGCTACCAGGTTTTAGGACTCGTAAAATTTCCTGCATGGCTTTATGCTTATCAACCACATTTCGAAGACCATAGCCCATAGTGATAGCATCAAACCAACCATCAGCAAACGGCAACTCAAGGGCATCACCTTCAACCCACCTGTGATGCAACAGATGATTATTTCCTTCCTATATTGTCACCAATGATAATAAAATACAATACAATCACAAAAGGACTCTAAACTACAGGCTATTATCCAATGTCTGCATATTGCAAAAATTACCCATGCTCACTCAATATTCGTGAAGCATTTCTTTGAAAGCGAGCACTGCCGAGATGAGGCAATCAATAGCTGCTCCTTCGAGAAATCAAGACCAGTCACCTACAGCTCAAAAGATTCACACAACTATAATTTCCCTACCAATGCTAAATAATAATAGCAACAACAACAACAACAACAACAATACTAACTATTAAAATAAAACACATTGCCATAAGACCCAACTTTCACATATTCAAGACCCCAAAAGAAAAAAACAAAAAGAAAAACAAAAGAGAGAGAGAGAGAGAACACCTTGCCATTGGAGCCAACTTTCTCAGACAAGAGAAAAGCTAAATCCCCACTTCCACAGCACGCATCCAACACACGGTCTCCCACTTTTGCTCTGTTCCCAAAATTCACAGAAACGCGAAATTAAAAATTAAGAAGAAGAAGAAAAGAAAAAAAAGGTGATATTTTGAAGGAAATGCATTGAAAAAAAAGAGAAGAAAGAGGGATACCCAGTCCATGATACTGCCATTCGCTTCCAAATCCGGTGCTGACCCAGGCTCAACAAATCATTCAGCTGCACAAACAAACAAAGAAACGGCGTAAGTTATCAAAGAGGAGGCAGCAGAAGATGAAAGAGGGGAGGAGTGGCGCACGTTATCATAGACAGGAGCAATGCGGCTAAACAGCGCCTGGCGCTCGTTGGTGCAGCGAACCAATGTTGGTCGGAAAGTGGAAGAAGAAACAAGCGTTAGATGCAAGGTTGCCATCTCTCGACTCCGTTATGTGTATATCTCATCTTAACGTGTCTGTCATGTTACCGAACAACTGTATAGAGTTCGTTTCCCGTAAAACACACGAACAAGCTTTACATAAATCATGGGCCCTGACCCGAGCCCACGGTATTGGGTTAATTGCCATTTATTTGGACCCTAACTTGCCCTTTAACAATTGTTTCTCAATCTTTTGTTCATTTATTTTTATTATTATTTTAAGAGTTAAACATCTTGATTCTTAGTGTCCGTTTGGATGAGTTTTTATTTTTAAAAAAGTTATTTCTCTTTAAATAAAAATTCTTTTGAGAATTTTTAGAAGTTTGGATAAACTTTTTAAAAAAGCAAAATTTAAAATAAAAATTAAAATGCTATTTTTTTTTAGCCAATAGTTGGATGCTTTTGAAAAAAAGCAGAAATTAAAAAATAATATAATTTTTTTTTGGAAATAAGATAATATAAAATTTTAAAATGCAATTTTAACCTCATCTTACCATATCTATATTATCTCTTCTTATACTACGATTATGTTATTTTATCTATCCTTTATTATAATTTTATACATAAAAGTGCCTTCTTTATGGTTCACTTTTTCTGCAGTCACTATGATGCACAGACACGGGACACGACACGACACGCCGACACGTTAATTCTAAAAAATGTCATATTTCGACACGTTCAGACACATTTTGATATTAAATAAAATTTTAAATATATATAATATAATTTATATTTAATACATATAAGAGTCCATAATTAGTCATATAACCAATCAAATATTTAAATTTCATAACATAAATACAAATATAAATAATTTTTCGTACTTTGTTAATTTTTCATGTCAAATTTCATAACAGAAAAAATTAATTTATAAATTATTTCTTTTATATTTAGTTAACAAAATAAAATTTAGAATTAAAAAAAAAAACGTGTCCGAGTGTTGACCGCGTGTCCGAAAAAGTTGACTGCGTGTCGGAAAAATGTGTCGGAGAGTTGACCGCGTGTCCCCAAATGTTGATCGCGTGTCGGACGCGTGTCGGACGCGTGTCGGAGCATGTCAGAACGTGTCCGTGTCGGACACATATCCGACACTCAAATTTTCCAAAGAAGAGCGTGTCGGTGCTTTCCAGGCAGTCACTGCAGATAAGTTATCTGCAGTAAATCAATACGACATCGTTTTGGGCGAAAATCATAGTATTTTTGTAATTTTAATTTATTTCAGGATTATTATAGTCAATCTTTAATCCCAAAACGATATAGTTTTTAGAGTAAATGCAGATAACTTATCTGCAGTAACTGCAGAAATATTTTTTTATTTTTTTATTTTAACATCTAAATAACTATTTTTTGTAAATGTGATTTCCAGATTATACATCTAAACATAAAATAATTTTATCTTTTAAAAAAAGTTCTTTTAAAAAAAACAATGCATAAAAAGTTATTTTTTTAAAAGTCCATCCAATATTTTATTGTTAAGTTAGTTACTTAAAAGATTAGTGTCAGACACTCATTACGGTATTTTAAAGATTTTGTCGCAATTCCATTTTAAAAGATATAAAATATTATCGTATTTGTATTTATGAATAACTAAAATGGTACCATGAAGGGAAAATTATTATGTATATTTAATGAACTAATTTATTGATGGAATATTTGGAGGACTAATGTGGTGACACCTAATATTTGAGGAGCTAATTTAGTAAAAAAATAAAATAAAATAAAATACGACGATACTCAAATACTTGAAAATAAAAGGTTTATTCTTATTTTAATTCACCAAAAAAATAGTTTCACGCATATTTTTAGTTCATATAAGTTGCACGTATATTACTCTATCTTTTTTGTGATACACATATATTACTTCACACCTATATAACTTTTCCCATCTGATTATTTTTTATCTTTCCTGATTTTTGGGCCTTGGCCCATTACTTTCACAGACAAAAAAAAGGCCTTCCCATATTTAAAAAATGTGAGTAATGTGGACCAAGATTATTCTTTTCAAGTCTCAATTCATTATATTAACTTTAAATGTTTGTTTGAATTCGTTTATTTATGTTTAAAAAAATCATCAAAATTTTTAGAGCTTTTGATTACAAGTTTTATAAAAACTTTAGGAAAAAAATATTTTTGTATAAATAATCGTTACCTAACCTATAGTAAGTTCTGCTGCTAAGTGTTTTATTATTCATATATAGGCATATTTTATGTTGCGTGTGTAACTTTTTTTTTTTTCCATCTAATAACAAAAGGCTCTTATTATTGTTGTTGTAAGTGTTAATATTTTTTTTATTGTTCTTTAACAAGCCTCAAGCATCGAGGAATTGCAACTCATAGTATTGTTTTTAGCTGAAATGCAAATATTATGCTTTTAAATTTGATCATTTTGACAAAGATATTACGTCTCAAATATTAAAAAGGAGAAAATATTTTTACTTTTGCTAAAAAATATGTTTTCTGTCATAATCATATAAAATTAAATGGGTCTCGTTATGAAAAGAAAAGAGAATTTTTTTTATATAAACTACTCATTTTTATGTGTGTGAAAAAATATTTCTGCAACAAAAACAGAAATGTTAAATCCTATTAAAAAAAGACAAATAGATTAATAATTAATTCGCTTAAAATTTTAATATATAAAAATAATATCATTTCCATTCCTAAAAACAGAGAAAATAAACATGAACTAATTAAACTAAAATTTGTTATAATTTGATTCAACAATGTGTGCTAGTTATTTATGGAGTCTGCTGAGGCGGGGGTCAATAGCATTTTAATTTATTAAACAATTCTGTTCATATAATGATTTCATAATTATAGAAAATTATCTTTTTAATTAAAGTTTCTAATTTTATTTTTATTAAAAAATACTTATCACATGTTGAAATTTAAGTAGAGAAACTCATCTGTCAATTTCAAGTTTGAACTTTGGAGTGTTTCAAAAATTCGGTAGGCTTCACAGCTAAGTGACCTACCTGGGTCCTGATACAAATTTAGATGATGTGGCTTTAAGAGAAGTTATCAAACTTGGGCAACATACATCTCATTGAAATTGACACATACTTAACTTAGACAACTCGGTTGTATTAACACAAGCCTTTTTACTTTTGCATCCACCACTTACCATGAGCATCATGGATACTTCACTTCAGTCAACATTATTCCTACTATAGTGTAGCACCATAAGTTGATTTGACTCCCATGACTCACCAAAGCAAGATGAACCGATGAAGCACATGGCAACATTAACTGATTCATGAAATGTTAAATGGGAGATGGAGGACGTCTTTGATTGTGTTTTATTTTTTTCTCGTTTTTAAAACTGTTTTGTGGAATAATTATGAAAATAAATGTTTTTTATTTTTTATTTTTTTGAAAGTTAAAAATCAAAAGAAAAAACAAAAATAACTCAGACATTTTCTCTAAATTTGATTCTAAAAACAAACAAATAGTTACAGTTTTTAAAACTTTTTTTACAAAACAAATTTTACCAAACAAGTTTTTTTATTTTTATTTTTTTAAAACTAAAAAACTGTTTTAAAAAACAGTAATCAATCATAGCCGGAGTTTCTCCCCTCTCTTTTCCACTCCCACTCCTTATCCAAAGACAGCAATAAGGAAGCGTTTGGTAGAGGAGAAATTTTTATTTACTCGAAAATCATGATTAATGGGAATATAGTTAGAAAACATGTTTCCTGGTAATGTTATGAAAAAAGTGTTTGGTAGACGAAAATATTACCGGAAATTATAATTAATATTACTGAGATGATGTTTGGTTGATGAGAAAATATTAAAGGAAATATGGTATTATTTTACCAAAATGACCTTATAACTTAACTATGTCTTTCCAGATTAAAAAACAAAAACAGCATTCCGTGAAAATGAAAATATCTCCTCGTTGACAAACTCCTCCACCATTCATGTAAGCATTCGTGTTGAATATTCATAACTTGTGATTTATGTACTAGACTTCATCCTCCTGGTAAGTTTGTTACGCGTTGACATAACCTCATTTATTGGTGTCTCTTTGGTTTGCAATGTTCTTTCATGAATAGAGAGTGACTATTTGCTCCTTTGTCATTTTTTTGTTTTTCCAGTTGAATAAACAAATTAGATCCAAACCCCCCTTCATTTTCACTCCGAAGCGCCTCATTACTGATGAAGAAAGTGAAACCCATATGAAGACCAGTTGTAACACAATTAGATAAGATTTCCTCCAATCGGGTATCTCACAAATACCACCCATTTGGAGGACATCTGAGAAGGTGATCTTGTCTATATTTTGTTCATAACTGAAAAATCATGAAAAACTCGATACCCGGTTATTACATACCAAATCTCCTAACAAACATGGCCTTTCACAAAACCTCATTTCACTTTCCTGGTCAAATTTCTAATTTCCCTCTACCAATCAGGCCCTAAAAGTAAAGCTACCAGCAGTTTCCTACAAAAACAATGCTAGACCTATATATAGCATTACTTTAACTTTAACGAGTGGGAGATTAGCGAGACCGAACACTTTATATATAAGCCAGTTGCCACCCCCAGTCATGTCATTTCTACTTTGGAAAGTGGCTTACCCGCTTCTTCCAAAAGACTAGAAGAGAGCTTTTCCTTCATTTCCACTTCTATCACCAACACACATACCCGAGAATTCAAACTTTTGCTGCAATAAGAACCTAATCAAATGCCAACGAGCCTATAGTCTAATTAACATATGCCCTAAATCTTTAAAGTTCTAGTGTTATCATGATGCCAAAAGAATAGTCTTCATCTCTTAACCGCCTTTATTCGGGTAATCGTACACCTAGTATAACAAAATAATTGAAATTTAAACATATAGTTTATAAAATGTAGTTTTCTAATCAATTCTGTTGATTAAAACTATTATTTGATAATTTATATTAAATTAAAAAAAAATTGTTCACATAATTTAAAATTATATACTACTTTCATGTTTAGCATTTTTGTTCCATAACTAATTTATAAATGATAAATTTCATCAATTAATTATTAAAAACTTACATGAGATAAATTAAATTCACAAGTTTCATAAAATTTAAGAGAAATATCACGTTGCATAAAACAATTTTGTCCCATATATACACACAAAATTGAATGGAACAACTGTTGTCAAAATGCTACTAAAAATGTAGTTATTGAAGTAATATATGTCAAAACGTAAGAAAAAATGCTTCTAAGTAAAAACACCGCCACAAATTTTTACATTTTTACTTAGACCAAAAAACTGAACTTGTTAAGAGGAGCAAGAGAAAATGACATTGAAGACATGCAATTAACGCAAGATGATGTGTTTGATTTAAATCAATTGATATAATTTAGGAATTGTTAGATTTTATTCTTTTGATATTTTAGAACTTGATTATATACATATATATATATATATATATATATATATATATATATATATAATTTTATATCTTGATCTTAATTAATAAAAAAAAATTATTTTGTGTCGTTTCTACAATTTATGTTTCTACCATCTCTATCTGTTTCTACATAGAAGTTCAATTTTGAAACAAAAGATGAAACCTACTTAGGAGAATAAGGAGAAAGAATACTCATAGATCCATTTTTATATGAGATAATTTTGTCTCATCCAACATGACAAACTATATTCCATTTTTAAACCATATAACATTTTCTTTTAACTACATGCATTAATTTAATGCATATTGCATTTTGAAATAAAAACTAAATATGCGAATGGTTAGACTAAAATTTTATAAATGCTCACGATTTATAATCTATCAAATGATCATTAGAATTAGAAATTTAGAATCAATAAGCGTGAAGAGCCACTTCATATGCAAGAAGAGACTTGCTTACTTTGAAAGTTCTTGTTCCGGAAACTAATCACTTAGGGCCACCAGATGGGCCCAATCGCTTAAAGCCCATATCTAGAACCTTCTAGAAGGCACTCATTGCAAGCCATAGAGGCTCACCACTAGGACATTCCCCATCCTGCACTGCTGCCTCACTGACAGGGAGCAGCTTGATGAGACAGCTCATGAGCTGACCAGCTCAAGCCCCCATGCAAGAAAGGACTCTCCTCTCTAAATACCCCTCTCACACATGGAGAGAGGGGCTTCTTCTTCTCCATCTTCTACCTATGATGTCACTCTGTCTCTATGTAAAGCCCTCACACACTCCCTCCTTTGAGCACATCCATGGGAAGCTTCACTAGTGGCTTGGTCTCTACCAAGACCACTATGGACACCCTCTATATCAACATACTTCACCTTCCATGAGACATATCTTATGTATACTTACAGTATAGTTCTCATGATCTCCCTGTAAACTTTAATAATATATTAAATTTAATTAATGCTTTAGTCACCTTAACATATAATATGATTTTAAAACAAATAAATACAAATAAACAAGATACCCACACATAACCAATTAAGTGACACAAGTCTTTTTGGAAAGAGCTCAATACCCAAATCGAGCAATGTCATTCATGTCTAGGTATGAAATTCTTCTTAGGCTACCTATATATATTCTTCTTAGTATATATATATATATATATATATATATATATATATATATATATATATATATATATATATGAGGCAGGTTATATTTACAAATTTTTTTGTTTATAAACTCTTACAAACTACACTAAGTACGACCGGTCATACTTTAATCATGCAATATACGACCAGTCGTACTTAGTGTAATTTGCAAAAAAAAAATTTATAAACGATCCTATCCCTTGATACATACGTGGCAAAAGCAAAATGACAAACTAATGCAACAGCAACCAGCTAAGTCGGAGTAGGACCATTAGCCAAAGTATAAGCATTCATTCACAATGTCAGGAGTTATTTATCAAGAATACAAGACGCAAAATTACTATGATCATTTTCCCTTTCTTTTTTATGGGAAAGTGAGCATTTAACTGTCAATGGTCTGCTTTTAATATCGAATTTACAAGCGATAATTAATCAGGATATACATTAGAGAATGTCATGTACATGCACCTCATTCATCAGCAAATAACCGTCCGGTCAGATTTTCCATCATAGAAAACTGCATATTCTCAGATGGTTTCCAATGACGCTTTCTTTGATTAATAAACCAATTGTTAATTTGCTTCTGGTCTAGCCCTGTTAACTTAGCCAGTTCAATCTTATCAGCTTCCTGGGTAAACAATAAAAACAAGATTTTGATTTCAAATGTAGTCTGAGGTTCAGTAACTGCTAGTATGGTAATGAAATTCAAAAGTTTTCAAAAACAAACATATAAGCAATAAGATATAATTTTACCGTTGGGTAAGGCCATTTGTAGTGAACATTCCACCACTGAAACAGTGTTTGTCTTGCTTCCTTCGGAAGCTTACCCTTCTTTTTCTTCTTTGAAAACTCCAATTTCAGAGAACCAATGTGACTCCCAAACTTTCGTAAAAGCCTATCCTTGAGCTCACGATCTTCACTCCTTAATTGTCCATCTTGAGCATCACCATCGCCTGTACTAAAATCTTCGTCCGAGGATACACCCCCATCGTCTAGCCAAATAATAGTAAAATCAAAAACATTGAATACAACATGAATTAACTTTATAATGATACAAATTAAAAATGTTGGTTAAATACAAATTAAAAAATGAAATAAGAAAAATTATGAAAAACAAAAATAATAATGAAATATATAGAAGAAATTAATGTTTCTCATGTTATATGGAGATAATTTCATCTCCTTTACACGTATGAAAATATGTGAAACCTACCAAATGGTGGTAGACGGTAGCTCAGTTGGCGCATGGAAGCTGAACAAGTGGGGGTAAAAGTATGTGTTCGAACTTCTCCAGTACCACCACCTTTAGTAGAGATTTAAAGCCTTAATCCTAGACACACCCCGAATCAAACTAGTCGCGAAGCAATGAACCGATACAATATTTCCTAATAATATGTGAAACCCTTCCTCTTTTTTCTTCTTACATAGCCCCACATGAATCTTACATACTTTTACGAGTGTATAAGAAATAAAATTATCTCTTATAACATAAGAAATATTAATCCCTATATAAAATTGTTAAACTATATATAATTTTTTTAAAAAGTTAATAACTAAAAATCGAAGATTTTATTTTATAATAGAAGTCGAACATAAATTAATAATGAAAGAAACTTTTGACACTTAGCATTTCTGACCAGCTTATATATCTAAAATGGCAATAATTGTTTATTAGAGGGCAAGTAGCCCACGAGCACCCACATATTGCTTCTGACACCCACTCAATCCGACAAGGATTTGACCATCGCATGAGAGTACACTGTACACACCAGACCAAATCAGAGCAGACCTAGGTTGGAAAGAAAGAAAGTAAAGAAAAAGAAAACACCAGTGTCAGTGCCAGGTTCCATCCATTGTCACTATGACCCAGGCCAGAGAGACTCAAAGTTTACAATGAAGCAAACGGTACGGCCATTATCAAAAACCAAATCGAGAACCAGAAGCTCCTCGGCCCTAAACCACAACCCTACTTACTAGTCATTACAGTGCAGACCTTAAATCATAAGATTCATTCCCTTAACCATTGGATAAACGATCCCTGTCGATCCAAATATTTAACCAAAACTGAATATCCAGAGAATGAAAAGTAGGCAAAAGAATAAGGGCAATTTGAATGGATTTTTTTTTTCCCTCCAAAAATTAATTTTTTTTAAGAGAAAAAAACATTTTTTATTATAAGTTCATTTGAATTTCTACTTTAGAAAAACGAAAATAAAAAGCCAAATATATTTTTTTATAAATTAATTTTTAAAAAAACATAAATAATTTTAACTTTTATAAATGAGCTTATCGTTTCTCGAGCTGCTTTAGATAATTTTATCTTCGACTACTAAATCATAATCGTACAAAAATGGATCAATGATAATAACTATTCAAAGCTAAATCAATTAATATAAATAAATAAATCAACGTAATTTTGAGATAGCCGGAGATAAACTTATCTCACGCTACTTGAGAAATGTTTTTCCCTTTATAAAAAGGGTTTTCGTTTTATCCTTTAACATAACATAACAAACTTTCCTACCCTCACAACATTTTGTGGGGTCCACACTTTTTAAAACCAAAAAATAAATAAAAAATTAAGGCACGCAAAACGAATCTCTATAACATTACACAATCACTTTTCCTACAACATAACTCTTATAAAAAACACCTTTAAAATAAGCAAAACATGAAAATTACTTTTTAAAAATGGCCAAACGAACGAACTCTAGATTACTTTCTTTACAAGGAGGGACCCTTTTATGAAAAAGAAAAGACACCTGGAAGATTGACAAGTGTTATCCAACATGCAATGATCTAAGGGTCAATGACCGAACAGAGGACCATAATGGGCCACAAGAGAACAAAATATCGGAAAATGGCAATGACAAGCACTAAGCCACGCAGAAGCGAGAGCAGTGGGCAGGAGTCAGGACAGGCTAGAGTGCGTGGGGAAGATATATTGAACGTTCTTTCAAAGAGAAAAAGCTGCTGCAAATCACAGCGAAATCTGCGGGAGTGCATGTGAAAGTTTTAACTCTTATTAGATCACCCGCGGTAAAAGGGATTTTTCTAAAAGTTCCTTGACTACACATTCTATGCTTATGTAGCGGAGTAATCCAAAACCTAAGCTTTTAAAAGGAACTATTAACATCTCAGTAGGTCCAAATCATTTTGGACATTCCACAACTTTATTTTAATGGACCTCAGTAAACTTCTAAAGGAGAATAGAATTTTTCTAAACTTTCAAATTATTTCTTACTATCATTTCCACATCACTGTAATTTATGCACACGTCACGACATTGAGTATATAAGCTAGGGTTTAATTTAATTCTTCAATTTCAGTCCACCGGAAAAAATAAGAATGTAGACACAAGAAGACCAACAAAAACAAAAAAGGTCAACGTTACACTACGTAGGAAGAGAGACTGCACAAAACAAGACCACTCTACCTAGCTAATCCCTTGTACTAAAAAAGTCAATGCCTCCAATCTGCTAAATAAGTCCAATATATAACTATACAGTTCGCGATAGCATTCCGTGTGGTTAAAAGAGTAATCTAACTAAATTAACAAAACATGAAATGCAAATTCTGGATATTTACCCAAATCCCAAACACCACGTGCACCCACCATTTCACACCTCTATATCTGATCACAGAACCTTGAACTGTGAACCAAATAAGATTTCTCCACAACAACATAAACAACGAACAAGCATCGGAAACGCAAAGCAAACCTAATAACAATGAAAATTACGTACTTTTATCTTTATTATATAGATATGTTACTACATTCATCAGTTGTGATTGCAATGAACCGAGGACACGAGCAGAGAACTTTAATGCTTTTAATTCCTTATCACTTAAATTCTCAATTCCTTATCTTTATTAAGCTCAAGTGATGACTTCCTGGTTGTAGATTGTTTTCAGCACTTTACTAATGCCTTCAGTCAGATAGATAGGGGGGAAAAGCCATTGATTCCAAATTACACTTACAATAACATGATACAAAAAGACATCATCATGGCAACCCAAACTTCCAACAATAGAATTACCCCAAAACACATTAAGAGTGCAGCATATAACAATGTTCAAGCCCCTTTAGAGGTCTAATGAAACACTAAACATCAACCATGTTATTCCAAGGACTCTATAAGTGTAAGAATATACAGAATCCAAAGATGGATTAGATTTTTTTAAAACTTGAGATGAGAATATCTTTATATTTAGAGGGATCATTTAAGGATCACATAACACCTAAAAGATTTTCTCATGTAGATATTCAATTCGTTTGGGAAGATTTGGAAATATCATAAATTAAAAGACAAAGCACAAATATCAACAATGATTAATTAGTAAAGCCTTCGTTTCAAAATTTCCAGAGGCTTAAAACAGCAATAAGTTCAATCATTCCGCACCAAGAAAATGCCCCAAAAACAAAGAATAAAACATAAATTTGACAGATAGAAAGTTTATTTCAGTCCAAGCACATGAAAACTTGTTTCTAGTTAATACAAGAACCAATTTGACGCCTGTAGTGGTTGCAATACAAAGACAAGAAAAATCAAAATCAAAATCAAAAGATAAAGAAGAAATAAGAAATTAGAAATTAGAAACAAAGGATTTCACATCCTGTCAACTTTGCTTTAGAGGTAAAAATTACAAGAATATAGGTTTGCAAAAAGGATGATGAAGGAGAATCTGTCAAAGGATGCAATACAAAGCCATTTACAAATTAAAACATCACCACTGAAAAGGTAATCTGTACTTTCAAGCATAAACAATAATATTAGCCAACCATAACCAACCTGACCAGTGACCATGCTTTGCAACATAAAAAATTCTTTCAAAACTAATATACTATTAGAATCCACTGCATGCCAGCCCCACAATTAGAAAATTTGTATGGGAATTGTAACTGATCTTCTAGCAGAGATAAAGTTCAGAAACCAAAGTAAAATCCTTAACAAATAAAGTTTATAACCACCCATATACTTCTGTTTCAAGTTCAAGTTTTATATAGGGTAAAATATTATAAAAGGAGACATAATCAGGGATTGAAAAGACAATGAGAAAGAACTAGATCTGAAAGAAGTAGAAGAGAAGCAGTATATCATCAATTTCTAATCAGCTAAGTCCTTTAGTTCGGCTGCATTAAAAGCTTATTTCACAGTTAGTAAACTCACAGAATTGATTTTCTTGAACGAAAGCATGCCAAATGCAAAACCTTTTTTTTAGGACGATGACAGGATAACCTAACTACACAAATGTTGTGCTCATTCTTCAAATTTTACTAACCCAAACCTACTTTCCTTCTATTTTTTATTTTAAGAAAATCTGACATTACTTTAGCTGCAGACAGACTATCAGTCCCTTAGACAATTCCCAAAGAGCATTTTTTATCTCCCAAAAACACGCATCACTTGTGCTCTATTGGAACTCGATACATTAATAAAGTACGAAAGCAGAATCATTGCATGCCATTACTGTCAGATCATGTGTTCATCTAATCCAAAATGGGTAAAATGGAAGGTTATTATAATCGATATTACCATAAGTCTTTAAAAGCATGAAAATTTCGTCTTTGCAACAAGAAAGAAAAGAAGAAAGCTGTCCCCCTATAATAATGAAGCTTGCACATACCTTAAATGGGATACAGGTATGATATTACATGGGAAGTGTGTTCTAATATCAAAGCACTAATTCACACTGATGAATTACATATGTTGATAAATCATTTGAAGAACATGTTCTTTCTAGTTTCCACTATAACAAAGGTTACATAGCATTTCTGCTACATTCTTCCATAGCCATAGAATAAAGTAAGCGTCTACTCTTTTAGCCTCTTAATTTCATGATGAAAAAGGTTACGTTTGACAATTTGAATTTCACATACCATATATAAAAAAATAATCTCTATAAATAGCTTTAACATATCAAAGCTAGCAAAACAACCGTACTATCTTTAAAATATCCACTACCAATAACATATGTTTCTTCGAGTTGCATTGCAAAGGGAAGCAATAGAAAACAATGCTATTATCCTAAGAGAAATGCACTCAAACAGACCAAAATATAAGTCATGATCATTTAATTTACCATATCACAATTCATAACTAGAAACCAAGAATTTACAGCGGTCATAAGCATTACTTGAATGAATATTTTGTGGAACTTTTCAAACAGAAACTTGTTCAAAATAACCATGCACTAAGCATATACATATTGGTGGGCGTGATGGAAGCTGGTCAGCCAATGAACTGAAAGGGATCAAAAGATGAAGACTAAAGTACTACACAGAATAAACCATTTGATGGTTGGCAGATGGGAGAAGCAAGAACGCCCATTTAAGACCTATGGGCGTTCCGAAACCATCATCTACTGTTCAGTCAGTGTCTTTAATCTAAGGTACTATTTGAGTTAACATTAAAAACAACTGCAATGTCAAAATTAGAAAGCCAAATGGGAAAGTCGGTTGTTGCTCGTGAAACTTGACACACTCACGGGCAGAAGCAGAAGAGAAAAAATGAGATTAAAAAGAAAAAAAGAAAAGTTTGTGCGAAGAGAAAAACTCCAGAGAGAAAATAAAACAGACAAGACAAGTCCAGAAGCTTGTAAAGAAGGAACTGAAAAAGGCGAAAGGTTCAAACAGCGCTGGTAACCCATGAATGACCAAATAATTCAAACTTTATTTTCTCCTACAACTAAAGAAGCATGGATTACAGTCTAACAGTGAAAGCATACAAGAAATACAAAGGTATTATTAAAGTCACACACATCAACTGCGCCCAGAGAGCAGTGCAACAGTCATGCATAAACACCAAGAGAGAGAGAGAGAGAGAGAACCTTTTGAGTGTATTAGGGTTTTCTTTTCTTCTTCTTTTCTTTTTTCTTTTTTTCTTATTACATTCTTTTCCATATTTTAATTCAAAAGCTGTGTCTCGTGTCTTAAAATTGCAAGCACATATTAGCTACTAGCAAGATTATATTATTCTGCGATGATTATTTATGTTCACAACCAATGGTTAAACAAAAAATCTAAGAGGATAAGAACTCGTCAGACCAAAGAAAGCAACCATAGATTATGCTCCATGTGGGTTCTTCAAACAACTTGAGGTGAGGACCCTATTGCAGCCCCACAACGGTATTTATAGCACAGATATCAACGAACATCGAGTTCCGAAATTATAGCACTAGCAGTGAGGGAGTACTGCAGCTACTAATTATCAGAGAGAATAAAGATAAGAAGAAGAAGAAAAACTTACCAGAAAGGGTGGGAACGGAAGCACCGGTGGAGAGATGGCTGAGCTGCATTTCGATGTTGTTGAGGAAAGTTGTTGCTTCATCAAAAGGGCGAGCGAGGTCTGATTTATATTTCACCAGCATGTCGCAGTAGGTTTCCTGAAACCAAAAGCGCACCCACACACAAGAATGGATAATCGGAGACACAGCACAATCTCAATCTATCAGTGACAAAAGTAATATTTTGATTTCAATAAAATAAAATAAATATATATATGTGTGTGTGTGAGTGCGTGCGCGCACAAAGAGATAGCAGCAGAAGAAAGAAAGAAAGAAAGATAAGGGGGGACCATGAACTCGTCGAGCTCGGGATCGGCTCCAAAGCACGTGGAAACAACGTCCCTCTTACACAGGTCGTTTTCTCGCCGGATTTCCTCCAACAAACGCGCGATTTCTGGAGGCGCCCCAACCTGCCATTTAACAGAAAGTTGTTGTGTTAGTTCGTTCGTTTTGTTATTAATAACCGTTTTCTTTTCTTTTCTGTTACAATTGCAACGAATTCGAATGAGTTAGTTATGAGTTTCACTTTCACCTTCTGGCAATCGATGTAAGCTTGGAGGAGGCGAGGGTAGTGAGGGTGAGAGGCGATTTTGGCCTTCATGACCGCGGAGGCCATCTCGTCCTCCTGCTGCTGAATCCCGGCGGGAGTTGCGACGGCGGAGATGAGGTCGTCGGATCCGAACATAGGAATCCGGCCTGCGGCGGATGTCGACATGAAGAAGCTGTGGTAGTCCGCCGGGAAGATCAGATTCTCCGGCGTCATCAAGGCCTTGTCGTCATACTCCTCCTCCGTCGACGGCACTCCGTACATTTCATCCATAACCGCGACACAAAAACGCTGCGCTGCTTCCTTAAAAGAATTTATTGCTGCTTTTACTTATCCACCTGCTGCCAGAGACAACCAGTCTTCAAAAAGAAGAAAATATATATATGTGAACAAAGAAAGAAGAGAATTATCTGATCTTATAACAATTTAATGAAGTTTAACTTTTTCAAAGGACACTAATTAAATAATTATTATAATAATGTGAGGAAAGAAGAGTAAGAGAAGAAATGAGAAGATGACTGTGGACTACTACTACCTCTTCAAGGGTGAAGTGCTTTCTTTGTTTCCTCCTTCCTTTGTTTTTAATTCAACATTTTTTGGATTTTCCTCTTCATCTCTAGTTTCCTTTCAACTGATATTTTATAAAAATAGAATAAGGTCCGTGGTGGCTTACGACACTTCCCAAATTATCACTACATACTAGTCTCTAGACCTTACCCCCTCCCTTCCTTTGTGTATGAATTGTCACTTGTCAGCACCTGTCTATGCTTTCGAAATTAAATGTGTGAATGCATTCATGGTAATAATAATCAAGACTCGGAAGCCAATATAAATTATTAATATTTTTTCTTTTAAATTTCTTGAACCGATTTATCCTTTGAACTAGTCATGTTTCGACTACTTTCAAGTCTTATAAAGGGAGAGGCTCTTTGAAGATTATTTTTCGTTCCTAGAGTTCGAACTCTAAATCTTTATTTAATGGATACAAGCTTTTTTTTCACTTATGTCAATGGTATTTGGTAAATTATTAATATTATATGCCTACTTTTTGTGATAATTAATTGTGTCTGTTTACTCGTGGGTATATGTAAATTTATGTTCATTTAAACACGAATTGTCTGGAACTACATTATTTTAAAGGTAATTGAAAGAATCAATTCAACGTAAAAATTTAAGTTGTTAGGTAAGGTTATATTTGATAATTTTATATTTTTCTAACATGCATTTTGAACGAGAGAGCTCGTTGAGTTTGACTGGTGAATAATATATCAGACCTAGTTTAACTGTGTTACAAACTTCACAATATTTAATTATTAGAATAGAGTCGGTAGAGATCGAACTCGTGACATCAAGACTCTAGCTTAAACTACTGGATGATATTACTTTTAATGATTTTATATTTCTCTACCAATATATTAAGACATCTTTAGTTCCTTCACCTTTCATCGCCAATTCCTACTTCTATATCTTTGACATTCCATTCATTCACATGAATAAATGTGTTATGTCTAATTAGCTATTAAATTTTAGGAAAAAATATTTCTCATATTGTAGGAAAATTATTTTCTCCTATTAATAATCCTTCTATTTTTGTGCAACAATTTTTTTTGCATTTTTATTTTTTTAATAAATATGAACCATGTATAAGATATGTTTATAGCATGAGAAAAATTTCTTCTACGGCGTAAGAAAATTCAAACCCTAAATTTTAACAAACAAAATGAATGACTAATCAAAATCTGAAAAAAACGGAGCAAGAATACATTTCAATTTCATGTTCAATGATCATTATATCATGAAATTGTTAATTGATAAGTAAATGTTCTCAACTCTGTTTATCTGAATCACTTGCCTTTTAAGTTTGACATTTTTTAATTGTTTGAAAGCGATGATGAATTCAAACATTTGAATGATGAGACGTGATTAAATTGACAAATTTAACTGGATGCAAGACTAATACAAGGAGTTCAAAACGTAATGCAAGCTTACACTTAAAAGAGCATTACGTTTGTGATCTTTAGAAACAAATTCAAGTTTTTGAATGATGTTAACTTTGTTGGCGCTAGAAAATTGAGCATGTGTTTCCAGTATTATTTTTAGGAGGATTTAAAATTTTAATACTAGGACTCGCCTCAAATTGAACTAGTAAGAAAACAATGAACTAATTGAAATATTAAAAAAAAAAAAAAAAAGTTCACTTCCATATTACTCTTGTTGAAATTCCATGCTTCGTAAATAAAATACATTTGTTAAGCTCTTCGAACTAAGAAGTTAAAATGGCGACTAGAGAATGAAAGAAACTCAAGTAAAAATATTATTTATTATGACTCTAAACTATAATAAAATCATTTTAATATGAGATAAATATTTATACAGTCACTTTAGGTAAGATTAGCTACTTTTTATAACTAAATACTCTCACAGTATATAGTTATAATATTAAAATTATTATTTTTTTCTCTCTCCTTAGTCTCTTTTCAGAACCTGTCTGCTGACAAGAGAGAAAAAAAAAACAATTTTAATGTTATAATTATGTATTATCGAAAGTAAGTAGTTATAAAAGCATAAATGTAAATAATTTTATCTATAGCGGCTATAGAAATGTTTTTTCCTTCTAACTTTTGAAATGATATTAACAATATCCTTGAGTAGGGATGTAAAAGAGCTAGGCCGGCCTACAGGGGCCTATGGCCTAACCAATATTAGGTCAGACTTGACCTATTATAAATAATAAAATAGAATAGGCCTAGGCTTTTAAAAAAAATCTATTTAAAAAATAGATCATAGGTTTTTTTATATATGTCGGGCCTACAGCCAGACTTATATCATATTATGTATTTTAAATAAAATAAATAAAATTATTATTTTAATAAAGTTGAATAATAAAGTAATATTATTTTAGTTATTCTTTTAATTGTTGAATGTTTAATAGGTTTAAACATGATAACAGACCTAGGTCAAAAAATTTATTTTTTAAATATAGGTCAGCTCAGACTTGTAATTTGAGACCTACACATGCTAACATGCAAGGTCAGACACAATATTATTTACACAAATCTAATCTATTTAAATCAAATGATAGTCTAACCTTACCTATTTACACCTCTATCATTGAGCTAAAGGCCTAAAGCACATAATACATGGAATTAATCATGAAACAAGTAAAAATATTATTTAAAGTTTTAAATAACTGAACCACGTTGCTTTGTCTCACCAATAACAAAACCTCAAACCACCTTGCTTCTCCCCACCGTCACATAATTCATGGTATATATCCCTATACTTTATAATTATATAGTTTTTTAATTGAATATTAATATTTTATATATACTTGCTAGTTTAAAAACGATGATCTATCCATATATTTTTTTTCAAATTTTTTATTGACATATCTTGTGTACCGTAAGCTACAAAACCAAAGAAGAATAACTTTTTTCATCTATAAAAAAAAAGAGGAATAACTTTTTGGCCTAATAGCACAAGTTAAACAAAATAAAGATATAATATTTGTTAATCATTTGATCTTGGGGCAACGATTAATAATTTTACAAGCCAAGCACTCAATTACAAAACTGGGAAATTTTTTATTTTATTTTTTTGGGAAACAACTGAGAAGTTATAAGGCATGTTTAAAATCTATTCTGAAAAATAGTTTTTTGATTTTCAGAATAAAAAAATAAAAAAAATTATTTAATAAGACTTGTTTTGTAAAAAAAAAAAACCTGTAATTATTACTTATTTTTTTAGAATCAAATTTAGAAAACATGTCTGAGTTAATTTTCTTTTGTGTTTTGACTTTTAACTTTCAAAATAAAAAAAGGAACAGGTCATATTTACAAATTTTTTTGTTTACAAACTACACTATCTTCTCCCGAGAAAACACTCATTACACTATGTTCTCGCGGGAGAACATAGTATCATTTGTAAAAAATTTCAAAACGATTTTGTAAACGGATCCTTCCCCATAAAAAAATATAGAAAACACTTGTATCATTAACTATTCTAGAAAATAATTTTAAAAACAAAAAAATCATAACAAATCAAACATACCCATACTTTTTAGTTCACATTCTCACGAAGATTTCAAAATTAAAACTAAAAAAATGTAATTGCAATAAACTAAATTATTTAACTCAAAACATGAGTTTAGAATATGGTGTTGTTAATCATACGGTTTATTTTATTTCTATTCTAACATGTTTATTTTTATCATAAATTAAGTTCATTATATAATCATTGCAAGATGGAGCTTACTTGGCAAATGTGTTTTGTATAAAACGGACTTTATTTATAGTGTAAGTTTCAAAATTCACTAAAAAACATCTTATTAATAGAACCAAGCCAATGACCAAACGGGAATTAATCCAAACATTTTTGTCTTACAAAATAAAATGTTATAATGTGTTCTATAGAGCACGTTAATAAATAAGAATGTGATTAAATGGAAAATTGTGAGTTTTCATGTGATTGAAAATATTTGTTTAACAACGTTATTGGATAGTGTAAATAAATAAAATAATTATGCGGATAATACATTAAAAAGAAACAACCGATAAAACTGAGCTTAAGTTCTAACACCCATAGTCAAATTTCTAACATGCAAATGCATGAAAATTCAGAATTAAATTAACTAACTCCTTCAAAATTCTTTAAAATTAATAAGTTACTGACTTGATAAACGAAGTTAAGTACAGAGATAGAATTTGGAAAGAAATAAATAGAAGGACAATCAACCTTATACTTTACTCTTTTGAGCAAGCATACCATAAAATTGAATTTAAATTCCGCATTAACTAATTCAGACGAATCTTTGATTCCTTTGTTCGTTTATTTTGTGAATAAATTAAGGGAATATTTACTTAGTTGTTCACAGAAGGATTCGATTCATTCATTCATTCAAACAACTGCACTCTCAGTTCTTAAATAATAAAATTGGCATGAAAAGACCTAAAAGGATAAGGAAGGAAGGAAGGCACCTTGGCATATATCGTATGTCTGCTCCTCGACCTCATCTAAACGTTTGCATATATCTTGAGAAAGGAAAAATTAAAGTATTAGATTAAGTTTAAGAAAGGTCTTAGAATCAAATTATATTCTCTCACAATCACAGTATATAGTAAAGCACTCCCATTATCTTCCCGTTAGGGGAAAGAACTCTGAGGATTTTCTTTTAATATGATATAGTATATATTTAAATATAGATATACGAGATAAAATTATCTCCTACACTTATAAAAATGTGTGTGGCCATATGAAAAAGAGAAAAAAAATGA